CGGAGGTGCTGCAGAGGCGAAATGGACCGGAGGTGCTGCAGAGGCGAGATGGACCAGAGGTGCAATGGACCAGAGATGCTGCAGAGGTGAAATTGATAGGCCTTGGCACCATATTGAATATGGGGTGTATGTTGGGGGGGGAGTGACAGTGAGGAGTCCAGGATGACTCAGGTTGCGAGCCTGAAGGATTGGGAAGATGATTATGCCCTGGACAGTAACTGGGACACATTAAGTTTCAGATGTCTCTGAGATGTCAGAAAGGCAGTTGAAGATGTGAGACTGGTCTAGAGAGAGGTAAGGCCTGGATGAGGAGATCTGAGAATCATCAGCATAGAGATGGTAATTAAATCCCTGGGAGTTGATGAGATCACCGAGGAAGATAACATTGAGAGAGAAGGGAAGAGGACAGGCTCAGAGCCCGAGGGACACCTCGCCTGGTCAGGTCTGACTTGGCTGAGTGAGTGTCTAGCTAGGACATAGGGAAGGAGTGGTCAGACAGGAAGTGCAGGGAAAACCTAGAGATAAGAGAGGACCCCGGAGGAGAAAGGGCGAGAAGGAGGATTGAGGAAAGGTCACTGGATTTGGTAATGACTTCGGAAGCTCCAAAGACTGAGGGGAAAGGGGGAAGGGTCAGAGGCAGCTTTCACAGACCCATATCTCTTAGCTCAGCCCCTCCCTACCTGCCTGCTCAGGGCCAGCTGTGCAGCCGAAGAGGGTCCTGGGACAGCCAATGCTTAACCAGAGCTTTGATGCATTTCAGGTCTTGGTGGTGGGAGGGAAAAGGAGCCCTCCCATTGACCTGACAAAGCAGTACCCCTTCACACCAAGGGGAGTCCCCCTGGGTGACTTTGATGCCTCCCATTCTGGGCTCCTGGGGCCCCAGCCTAGCTGGGAGAGGGTTCATAAAGTCTTGAAGGGGAATTCTGGCCTCCAACGTTTGTACTGTATGAGCAGTCAGCACCTCATCCAGTATGCGACAGTATGGACGTTCAGCTCCCAATCTCCTCCTCCCACTTACTCCCGGCTAACAGTAGAACATACATATTTAGGGAGTGTTCACCTGCTACCACCCCCTGGTCAATCAGGGAAATTCAGGCTGGATAGTTCATGGATTTTTCATGCCTGCATTAGAATGGAGCCTGGAAACCCTTTTTTCCTGTCTCCCCTGTTTAGCCAGAAGGGAAATTAGGACCCATCCCTTCTAATCTTTCCTATCTTGTCTCCTTCTCTAATCCTCCAAAGGAAAGGGGGGATAAACCAAGAAAACAGCATCAGTAAAACATTTAAAAAACCCAAATGCCCAGGGCAGAAGGGGCTCATGAATTAATGTCCCTGGTCAAAAGCCCAATGGCCTTGGAGCTTACAGTCTGTGTGACCTTGGACAAACCCCTGCCCACTCCGGGTCTCAGTTTCTCCATCAGAGGTCCTGCCTGACTTGTTGCCCTCCTAGGGCCACTGGGCGGCTTGGCTGAAAGGTAGATGGGAAACTCTGGCCAAAAGAAGAGTCCTGCCATATGTGGCTTGAGGCTGCCCTGGGACCAGCCAGTGTCCTGAGAATATTGACAAAGTCTAGAAAGGCCGGGAGTTGGGGTGGGGAGACAAGTGGCTATTGCTGTACTCTTGGACCCAGAACAGCTGGAGTCCTCATGAAGGCTTCATAGGGCTTCTGGTGGGGGGCAGGATGTAGAGGAAGGACAGCATCCTGTGGGTACTAGAATCAGCTCAAACTAGCACTGGAGAGCTGGTTGTTCAATTTTTATGCCTTGGGAAATTACTGATTGCCTAGACTTCAAAAAGTGATGGAGAAAATGGTGATGACATAGATTAGACTGAACAACTTCGTTGTGCTCTTTTTTGGGAGGGAGACCCAGTTGTTTCACATTTCTCAACACCCCTCTGGCTGTGTTCTCTTTGGGTCCACGTAACCCTAATTGAAGGAATGCCGGGGCAGACATTCCCCTGCAGGACAGCCCCAATAACAGAAACTTTGGGGCAGTAACAGCCATGAGGAGCGTGGATGCGCGGAGGAACCATCCCAGACCAGCTGAACTCTGGCCCAAGGGCTGACTTTATCACAGATGAGAAGAGGCTGGAGAAGAAGAGGAACTTGGAGATCAACCCCTCCAATCGTTTCTCTTTGTAGCCAGGAAACTGAGGCCTCGAAAGGAGAAGGGACCTGTCACACATAATGAGTGCACTGAAGTACTGGGTGGGTGCCAGGGGAAAGGAGCTGAGCGCTGCTGCCAGGCCACCTAGAAGCCATGAGTAGAAACTTCAGGAAGGCAGATCGTGCCTTGATGTAAGACCTTCCCAAGGATCCCAGCTGTTTAGGACTGGAAGGGACTGCTTTGGAAGGTGTAGACAATGAGCTCCTTGTCACTGGAGGCATTCAAGAAGGCGGGAGGTACCCTCTCTTCACGGAGACTTTGGAGGGCATGATTGCACTGGGAGAGAGGCTGCAGAGATCCCGCCCGGCTCTGGCATTCCAGGCTTGTGAGACCACATTCGCCCTGCCCCGCTCCCCCCCCCCCCCAACAGACGCGTGTCCTGTCCTCTGCGGACGAAGCCTCTTTTCACCTGGGGAGGCTCTGCTGACTGGGAGGGAGGAAGAAGCTGCTTTCCTTGTCTCTCTGTCTCCCCCTCGTGTCCAGTACAGGAATGAACAGGAGAAAGATTGAGCTGATGATGGCTGATGTGCCCTGTATTGTCCTCACATGTTCCCAGGGTTTAGGGGTGGCAGGGCAGGGGAAGGGAAGGGGGCCTCTGACCCAGGGAAGGTGACCAGCAAAGGAGGCAGTCCCACCTGCCTTGGGCCTTCCACCCCATCGCCTGGCCGGGATCCCTGCCGCATCAGTGAGCTGCTTGCAGCCTCTCCCAAAGGCTGGGGCTCTCCAGAACCGGCCCCTGCAGAGACCCTGGACTGTGGAAGGCTCCCATCTACCCCAGCCTTGGCCAAGCTCTTACTGTGGGGAAAACCCAGAGCCGGAACAACGTGGCCACTGAGGAACTGGACGAGGGTCAGCACTGCCTGTTTTTGCTTCCTGTTTATTGTGGGACAGGCTCCATGGTGAGGGGGTGGTGTAAGGAAAAGGCCCATTCTACCCATTTCCCAGCTGGGAAAGACTGAGGCCCCCAGAGCTTCCTCTTTGTGCCGGCTGCGCTGACTCCTAGGAGCCGGGCAGAGGGAGCCTCAGGCCCTTCTTTAGCTGGAGTGCCTTGCCCACCTCCTCAGAGCACTGCAGCCTGTGCCACTGGGCTATGGGCCGCCGGGCGTGGGCCAGCATGTCCGACCAGTGGTGCAGCTGGTGGCCGGTGGCTCGGCAGCCCAGGAGGAGCTTCCCCAAGGGCTCCCCCCTCGACATGCTGCTGCGGCCCCAGAGGGACACCAGCAGGTCCACTTTCTGAGGAGGGAGCAAACAAGACACAGGATTAGTCCTTCCCTTGGGAGCCCCGGGGCCCCCATGCCTCTGAGCCACCTCTGCCGGGAAGCCCACCTGGATCTGGCTGAAAGGCACGGGAAAGGTGAAGGCTTCATTGAAGTAGGGGCTGGATGTGTTTCCCTTCACACTCGTCTTTCTCTTCCACTTTTTCCTGTTCAGGAGGAGCTGAACCTTCACATAGAAGCCTGGGGAGGAGAAGGTGCTGCTGTCTGTGCCGCAGCCCCCTTCCCTGGGGCCCTCCTCCCCAGACCCAGCCAGGGGTCCCCCACCTGCCAGCCCCTGCCGTAGGCCTCGAGCCTCCAGGACCACCACCGTCAGCCTCCCCGTGCTGGGGACGTAGCGGAGAGAGAGGCACAGCTCCCCCATCTGCTCCTGCTGCGTGTGGGACAGAAAGCAGAGTCAACATGGGGACGCCCAGGCTTCCCGCAGCCCTCCCGCCCTGCTGGATGTCATGGAGGCTCTCCGAACCTCCATTTTCCCACTCTGCGAAACGGGCAGAAGCAGGCTGTAGGTTTTGTCTCCTCCCCGTGGTGCCGGAGGAAGTTCTTGCTGACCCTCCTGCCTCTGCGCTGCCACCCTATGCTATTCCTCTCTTTCCAGGTCAAACTCCTAGAAGAAGATGTCTACACCCCCTGCCAAGATGATGGGGCCTCCAAGCCTACACTGGTGACCCCGCCGTGGGCGCCTCTCCTCTCTGGGCCTCCAGGACTCATCCTCCCCAGCTCTCCCCCTCCCCGGCTGACCTCTCCTCTTCCAGCAGCTCGCCGCTGTGGACGGCCTTGGTGCGGGCTGCTTCCCCCACCCACACTCGAGCCCAATGGCTCTGCTCACTGCCCCCCGAACGCAGAATTCGTCTCCCACCTGGGATGCTCCTCCCTTCTCCCAGATCTTTCCCTTCAAGGCTGCGCTCGGTCACCACCTCCTCCCTGAAGGCCTCTCCAGGGGCTCCGTGAGGACCAGACTGTCTGGTCTGGGTCTCTGCATCCCCCATACCGGGGCCGGCCCGAGCCTCACACAGAGTGTGCGCCTAGCAATGGCTGCTGGTTTTCGTTTCTGGCCTTTCCCAAGGACGGAGCATTGGAACCAGGGGTCCCTGGAGCAGGCTCTCAGCTCCACCAGTGCCTGCCAGGCCCTGAGACCTTGGAGAGGTTCCTTCCCAGTGTTAGGTGCAACCAGGGACTGAATGAGAAGACCACCAGTCCCCTGCCCCCGCTCCCGCTCCCCAGCTCTGACACTGTGAAGTGTTTCAGCTTCCCTTAGGAGGGGCAGAGGGCCGCTGGAATAGGGGCTGATGCCTCACCTGGGCCCGGCCTGGTGGCCCCAGCTCGTACCACTGCTCCAGGACGTGGTGAAGGTCACTGGTGCCCAGGGGAATCAGGAGCTCCCCCACGGAGGCGTGGGGGGAGAAGCGGTGAAAGTCCAAGACCTGGATCACCAGCATGGCCTCGGGCAGCTCAGCTTGGGACACCTGGGAGGGGAGAGGGAGCGGAGCCCTGGCACTACCCTCCCTGGCTCCGGCATCCCCCAGCCCAGCCTGGGCCAGACTCCCGTCTTCAAAGCCCCACCTGGAAGACACAGCTCTCATTGAAAACGGGGCTGAGCGTCTGCCGATGCACCTTGGTCTCATGAATCTTCTGGGGGTCTGAGGTCAGGTAGATCCTGGCGTAGGGGTCAATCACACCAGCGGCCTGCGGGGCCTTCAGATCGGCCGCCTGCTTCAGGCCGACCCTCAGCTGGGGGGATGGGGAGGGCCCTCAGGCAAGGGTGGCCTCCGGCCTCTGCCCAGCCCCTTCCGTGCCCCCCTCCAGGTCTCCCCTCCCCACTCCGTCCTCCCCCAGCCCGGCCTCGACGGGCAGCTGAGCGAGGTCACCGGCCTTCTCCAGGCCGCAGCTCGCCCCTTTCTTCAGTGAGAAGAATCATCTTGGATTCCCCCTTGAGACGTCCTGAGGAAGAGCCAGCCTCGCCCACCTCCTGGCTGCGAAAGTTGTGCTCCAGGGAGACCTGCAGCCGGCCCCTCTTCGGGCCCTGCAGCCCCAGCTCCACGTCATCTACATCAGGCTGCACCTGGGCGGACAGAAGCCATGAGGACAGCCCCCCCCCCCCCGCCCTCCCCAGGGGAGGCCAAGGGCAGAGAGGTTGGGGCAGGCCAGGCCAGGGAGGCTGCTCTGCCAGGGGGCGGAGCCGGGGCCGGGCTGACGCGCCTTCTCCCCCACCCCCATAACAAGCAGTGTCTCTAGAGACCGTGTGGATTCAGGGCATGGCACCAATGAGTGGCCCTCACTCAGCAACCCCAGGAGGCAGGGAGGTGCCGTGGTCATCCACTTTATAGAGGAGAAAACGGGCTGAGAGGGCAGGTGACTCGTCCAGGGTGCCCTAACCAGTGTCTGAGACAGGATTAGAACTCAGGTCTTCCTGACTGCTATCCACCCCTCTAGACATCAGCCCCCTCTCAACATCTTCAAGACTGGGGCCTCCACTCTGGGGACGTGAGGGAAGAACACGTTCCCCAAGAGACCCCATGGAGGTGGGTATCTTCACCCTCTTTGCCACGGGCACACAAGCCCCAGCCCCCTTGTTCTGGTTCTGGGCCGGGTTCTGCGGGGCAGCCTTTGGGTCCTGAGATGGTGTGAGTCTGGCACTCAAGGCTCCTAGCTGCACACCTCCTCCCCTCCCAGCCCAGCCTGTCCCTTCACTGTCCTCCAGACTCCCACGTCCCTCCATCCTTCCCACCAGAATCACAGGATGGGAAAGCTGAGAGCGGCCCCAGGCTAGCCACAGCTGCCATGAGGCCGTGGGGCCGCCCACCACCTCCTGAGGCAGCCCCTTCCACACTGGGAGAGCTCTGGGACCCCTTTACATCTTCCCTCAATCATCCCGGTTTAGCCTAATGTGGCCCAGCAGAACCTGGAGACAGCCACGGGGTCTCCCCAAGTCTCCCCTCATGGGGCGGGGGATCGAGGCCCTTCCCACCCTGGGGGCCCCCTTCAGACCCTCCAGTTTGTGAGTCTCCTTCCATCCTTCCCTGCCTGGAAAAACCCCCTCTCTTCCTGTCTACATTTATTCGTCATCTAGAGCCAACCCATCCTTCAAGGCACTGTGGAAACCAGGGCAAATCTGAGTACTGTCTTTGGCACCCGGGTGACCCTGACCCAGTTTAGTCACAGACTGTACTCTCTGGGCCTCAGTTTCCTCCTCTGTAAAATGGGGGCGATGATCTCCTCTTTTGACCATCCCAGCTCACTAGAGATCCCCTAGGCCAGCCGTCTTCAGCCCATCTTGTGGACTGTCTTGCCCTTCCCCATCCTCCCTCCCAGAAGCTGGGCTGGCTGGTCTGTCTCTGTGGGCACTCACCAGGTGGGTACTGGTAGAGTTTGAGGCCCTGCCCAGGTCCACGGTCTCCTTCGCCCCCTTCTTCCTTCGTCTCCGGCAGCAGCGGCAGCAGCAGCAGACAATGCAGAGTGGGCAGGAGACCAGCAGGAGGGCAGCTCCCACAAGGACAGTGATGAGTAGCCATGGAGGTACTGCGGGGTGGGTGGCAGAGAGCTAGGGGGGCCAGCCGGCTCTAGGCCCACGGCCAGCTCCCCCCACACTCAGGACCACCAGGGGACCCGCCTCGCCCAGGCCACTCATCTTAGAGATAGGGAAACTGAGGTTCCGAAAGTGGCAGAGACTTGGGCAAGGTCACCCTGCTCCTAAGTAGCTTCCAGCGTAACTTTCTAAAGGGTCCTGCCCCACTCGTACCCAGCACCAGCCCAAGGACTCACAGGGAATCTTGTCCCAGACATCCTGGATGAATCCTGGTGTACCCTGGGTCTGCGCAGGGGACGACGCAAAGGAGAGGCCCACGCTTGTCTGATGCTCCGTAGTCATGTTCCTTGGGACCTGGAGGAAACATCGGCCCATTGGCCCGGGGAGTAGTCAGGGGCGCCTCCCTTGGCCCACCCGCCGCACAGCCAGTGTTCCCTGGGGATCGGCCAGCGGGGGCTGGCTGCTCCAGAGTCCTTGGAGCAGACAGGGAGCCATGATGAATTAAGAACTCTAGGGGCTGCAGGCACTAGATTCAGAAATCAATCAACAAAGCTGCTGGCCAGGCCCTTAGTCACCGTACCTGCCAGGACAGAGAGGGATGGGGCTGGGGGACACAGCAGGGTGGGGTTACTCCCTCCCCTCTTAAATATACCTGAACACGTAGGAAATACCCAGAAAGGCTTCCTAGGGAACTGAGGCATGAAGGAAAAAGGCAGACAGAAGGAACAGACTCCCCAAACAGGACATAGCACTGCCCACCTCCATGCCTTTGCACAGGCTGTGCCTGGCTGGAATTCTCTCCTTCCTTCCCTCTAACTTGGGGAATCCCTAGGTCCCCTCAAGGCTCAGCTCAGGCGGCACTGCCTCCACAGATGGGGCCTTTCCTGATCTCCCAGTCGTTTCTGCTTCCCGTCCCCACGTGACTTCCTATGGCTGATGTCTTCAGCAATTTACACATTCCTTCTCCGGCCATTGACTAGAGGATAAGCTTGTTGAGGGCAGCCGCTAGCCTGTGTTCTGTCCTCCCAGCGCAGCCGCTATATTCCCCCCTCTGAACTTCATTCCGGCCAGGCTCGTGGACCTGGAGACCTGGAAGGGCCTGTAGTGTCCCCAGTGCCTAGGACAGTGCTTGGCACATGGTAGATCCCTTGATAGGGGGAACAGGCTAAGTGACCCAACAGGGAAGCCGGGCTGGAGGGGGAAAGGAAAGGGATCTGAAGAGGAAGAGCCGCTCCTGCCCCTTTGGGATGGTCCCCCAGCCTGTGCTCCCGAGCAAGGGCAGGCTCGTTCCCCACAGTCCGGCGAGGACCCCCTGAAGCCACGAGGTTTGGCCTAGGGGCGGCAGGAAGGGGGAGTGGGAGAGAGGCGGCAGGAAGGGGGGCAGGGGGAGGGGCGGCAGGAAGGGGCAGTGGGGGAGGGGCGGCTGTCCTGGAGCTGGAGGGACCCAGGGAGCGTTCCTCATGGCTGAGTCAGGCGCCGCGCCCTGCCCAGCCTGCTCAACCCGGGGCATGGGTGTGGGGGCATGGGAAGCAGACGCTGCCAGGACCACAAGGCAGGGGGAAGCCCACCTGGCCTGGTTGGGCAGGACTCAAGGAGAGAAGGTCCCCAGATCTGGGAGCCAGGAGGCCTGGGCTGTGAGAGCGCCGCGCTCCCTGTGCCCACCTGCCTGTCCCTCCCTAAAGGGAGGCCATGGCCTCCTCACTTATCAGCATCCCATCGCTAAGTGTTTGTTGGGCGGGTGGCTTCTGGCTGGCGAGGGCAGCCCTGGCCCACCCAGCCAGCATTCCTGCTCACCTCTGCTGGGCTAGGGGACACCTGGCCAGGGTCTGTGGGGACCTGGAAGGGTGTGGGCAGCCGGCACGTGAGCTCCAGAGCCCCTGGCCAGCTGGGCCTGGCCTTCCTAGTGTTTGGCAAGACTTAGAGTTTGGGGTGATTTTCAAAGCCATGGGAAACTCTTCCACTCCTCACTCCCCAGCCCTACACCCTGGCTTCTTATCAACATTCACACAGAGCTCCCGGGAGCCAACCTTGGCTCAATCCTGCCTCCACACCTTTGCTCACCAGGTATCCCCCTCCTGGTATGCCCCTCACCTAGCACCGGGATGTCTCCCCCTGCTCCTGCCCTGCTGCCCCCCGGCCCTATGCGATCCTCTCTGTTCTGTGAATCTTGGCTCCCGTCCTCCTCCCCACCTCTAGACTGGGAGCTCCCGTGGCCAAGACGTCTCCTCCTTCTCCCATCTCTGTAGATCTGCCCTTCAGAGTAGAACCCAGGGTCAAGTTCACTTGGCAGGGGCTCGGCTGGTTCATTCTCTCTCCCACTTGGCCAGTCGAGAGTCCCTGGTGCAGCTGAAGAAGGCCTTGAGGGGCATCTCCCCCTCCCCCCCACCCCGGAGCTCAGGAGGTGGGAGGGAAGGCGACAGAGCCCGAGGACAACGCTTACCTGTGGCCCCTTGGGCAGGGGGGGCAGGCTCAGGAAGGAGTCGCTGGTCCCTTCCCCTCCCGGGCTGACCTGAGGGGCCACATGGCTGGGGGCTCGTGCCCACGGCTGCCCTTTCTCCGGTCTTGTGCTGGACTGGAAATTCTTCTCTGCAGTCCAGGTGGGGGGATGGGGAAGGACTTGGAGGAGCCCCACCTCAAGGCCCCGGAAGTCCTGAACCCCTGGGAGCTGGGGAACTCCCTGGCCTGGGAGCAGGCCCTGCCAGGGACCTGTGGGGGAGGGTCCTGGGGTCCCTTCCCAGGCCCAGAGAAGGGAGTTGGGAAGAAGGGGAGGAGGAAGGTGGGAGGGCATTTCGGAACATCTTTGGACTCTGAAGCCTGGGCACAATGTGGAGAGCAGTTAGGTTCCTTTTTTTCCACCGGTAAAAAATATGGTGTTACTCTCTTAGAGGCCCATTAATTTTTCTTTTTATTTTTTTACACGTAGTAGTATTTTATTTTTTCCAATTACATGTAAAGATAGTGTTCAACATTAACTTTTATAAGATTTTGAGCTCCAATTTTTTTTCTCCCTCCCTCCACTCCCCAAGACGTCGTGCAATCTGATGTAGGCTGTACACATGCAATCGTATTAGACATATTTCCACATTAGTCACGTTGTGAAAGAAGAATCAGAACAAAAGGGAGAAACCACGAGAAAGAAAAAAAAATCAAAAAAGCGAAAATAGTCTGCTCTGATCTGCATTCAGACTCCACAGTTCTTTCTTTGGATGTGGATGGCATTTTCCGTCATGAAGCCTTTGGAGATGTCTTAGATCCCTGCATTGCTGAGAAGGGCTAAGTCTGTCAATGTCAGTCATTGCACAATGTGGCTGTTACTGTGTACGACGTTCTCCTGGTTCTGCTCACTTCATGCAGCATCAGTCCATACAAGTCTTTCCAGGTTTTTCTGAAGTCCACTTGCTTATCATTTCTTAGAGCACAATAGTATTCCATTACATTCATATACCACAACTTGCTCAGCCATGCCCCAATGGATGGGCATCCCCTCAATTTGCAACTTTTTGCAACCACAGAAAGAGTGCTATAAATATTTTTGTACATGTGGGTCCTTTTCCCATTTGTTTGCTCTCTTTGGGATGCAGCCCTAGAAGTGCTATTGCTGGGTCAAAGAGTATGTACATTTTTATAGCCTTTTGGGCACAGTTCCAAATTGCTCTCCAGGATGGTTGGATCAGTTTACAGCTCCACCAACAATGCATTAGTGTTCCAATTTTCCCACGTCTTCTCCAGCATTCATGATTTTTCTGTTTTGTCATGCTAGCCAACCTGATAGGTGTGAGGTGGTACTCGGAGTTGTTTTGATTTGCATTTCTCTAATCAATAGTGATTTAGAGCATTTTTTCATACACTTACAGATAGCTTTAATTTCTCCTTCTGAAAACTGCCTGTTCATAACCTTTGACCATTTATCAATTGGGGAGTAACTTGTATTCTTACCCATTTGACTCAGTTCTCTATATATTTTAGAAATGAGGCCTTTATCAGAGACACTGGCTGTAAAAATTCTTTCCCAGCTTTCCGCTTCCCTTCTAATCTTGGTTGCATTGGCTTTGTTTGTGCAAAAACTTTTCAATTCAATGTAATCTAAGTTATCCATTTTGCATTTCGTAATGTCCTCTGCCTCTTGTTTGGTCATAAATTCTTCCCTTCTCCTTGGATCTGACAGGTAAACTATTTCTTGCTCTCCTAATTTGCTTATAGTTTCATCCTTTATATCCAAATCATGTACCCATTTTGACCTTATCTTGGTATATGGTGTGAGGTTTTGGTCTATGCCCAGTTTCTGCCATGCTCTTTTCCAGTTTTCCCAGCAGTTTTTGTCCAACAGTGAGTCCTTATCCCAGAAGCTGGGGTCTTTGGGTTTACCAAATGGTGGATTACTGCAGCCATTGATTACTCTGTCTTGCCTAAGTTGGGGTCCTCTTGCTCCTGGAGGAAGGTGGGACTGTGTCTGGGCAGAGGGAGCCACCCTCTTCAGTCCCCCAGTAGCCTGTGGTTCTTTGGGCATCACATACTCCTCAGACAGAAGGAACCGTCCTTTCAGGGAGCCTTGACCTGCAAACAAGCTTGGCTCGGGCCACGGTCCTGCCTTTCTCAGAATCACAAAGTCTCTGACGTGGAAGGCACGGCCAAGGCCTTCTGGCCAGTCCAGACCTGAGCCAAGACATTCTTGGCAAGTCAGAGCCTGAACACCCCTTTAAGGCCCCCACGGACAAGGAGCTCACTACCTGCCCAGCCCTCCCTGCCCTCCCCACCAGGCCCTTCCATCAAGCTAAATTTTCCTCATCCTGCCCAGTGGGGCCGAGCAGAGCAGAGCAGAGACTCTGGCAAGGAGACTGCCCGAGGCCCATCCATCCTGGCCCCAGTAGGCAGGAGGCTTTCCTGCCTGGCCTCAGTGGGTGACCCAAGCTGAGCTGATTCTTTTGCTCCTGCCTCCAGATTTCTGGCCTAGGTCATTGTCCTTGCCACTCTCTGCTCCCAGCCTGGACCCTGGGCTGCCCCCTCCCCTTCGCTGCCTTGCAGTCGCATCCCCCCAGGCCGGCTGCCCCCTGGGGACTCCTGATCCCAGGGAGAGCACCTCTGCCCAGGAGGCTCTTAAGTTTTCGGGCTACAGGGTGAAATTGACAGTCCGATTTTTTGTTGAGGGGCAGGGAATGCACATGCTCAGGCGTCCATGTGTACACATATGGCAGCGTGTGTGTGTGTGTGTGTGTGTTTATGTGCATGCATGTAATCTCTGGGAAGTCCCACACATTTGTGTGATTTGCGTAGGGGACCAGTCACCAAAGGGAGCCCCCTACGCTGGGCTCTGGCTGCTAAGCCCTCTGCTCTCTGTCTCTAGGCCTGTGGAGTGACCTCCGTGTGACACTGGGTGTGGGGGGAGGAGATGTGTGATTGCATGGCCAGACATGGCCTTGGGGGGGCGGGCGGAGATGATCTCTGGCTGAGACATGTGACCGCAGCAGGAGGAGACGCATGGCTGGGTGGGGGTGACGCTCCATGGCAGATATATGGTCGTCCAGAGAGGCACAGTTATGGCTAGTGTCTGAGGCTCGGGGGAGGAAAGAGAAAGCCAGTCGGGCCTGGTAGCCAAGGCCCTGCCCCTGGGGCTGCAAGAGGGTGGGGAGACACTGGCTGGACCTGGAGGGGTCTTCTGAGCTGGGGGGCTGGCCCATCCAAGGTTCTCTGTGTGCGGGCCAGGTGGGGGCTGGACGGGAACCCTTGGGCCAAAGGACGAGGAAGCAGTCTTCTAGGGAGACACCGGGATGGACTGTAACCCCCCAACCGCCTCCCAACCCCCACCTCGCCATCTATCCTGGGACAGACCAGACCCTTGTCTGTCCATCTGTCAATCACTGGCACAATCTGAACCCCCATCTGTCTCTCTGTTCCATCCATTCGTGTCCTTGGGACAGCCGATGCCCTCGTCTGCCCACTCCTCTGTCCCTGGGACAGGCTGGACCTCATCCGTCCATCTATCTGTCCTTGGGAAAGCATGGGCCCCGACCATCCATCTGATTGTTCCTAAGATAGACTGGCCTCCCATCTGTCTGTCCCTGAGAAAAACTGGCCTTCCTCTGTCCATTTTTCTACTTTGGCTGTAGATTGGGCTTCTGTCTCTGTCCATCGGGTCAGGCCACGAGAGAGGCCGGAGCCCATCTGCCCATCTATCTGTTCCTGAGACAGACTGGCCTCCCATCTGTCTGTTGACCCATCTGTCCCTGAAAATACCACATTTGTCCACCTGTCTGTTTGTCCCTGAAAGAAACTGCCTCCCATCGGTCTGTCGTCTGCCCCTGGAAAAACTCTGCTTCCTCCGGCCATCTTTCTCTTCCTGTCTCTTTGTCCATCCAGTTGGACTCGAGAGAGGCTAGAGCCATTTCTCATCTGTCTGCTCTGGAGACAGACTGAACTCCCCTTTGTTTTTCTAGCTATCTGTCCCTGGAAGCAGTCCATTTGTCCGTCAGTCTGTCTGTCCCTGGGAGAGACTGGAGCCCGTTTGTCTGTCTGTCTGTCTATTCCTGAGCCAGACTGGGCTGAGCATCTGTCTCCTTCTGAGAAGCTCTGGAGTCTGGGTCTGTCTGTCCATCCATCCAGCTGTCAGTGGGCCAGCCTTTGCCCCCCATCCATCTGGCTCTGGGACAGCCCGTACTCCATCCATCTCGCCTGCGTCCTGGAGACAAGCCCCCTGCAGCCGGCAGGCACATTCCTGGGCTTGGGCCCCGGCCAAAGCAAACCCTGGTGTAACTGCCTACGGAAGCCGCCTGCAGCAGAGTGGGGGGCCCGTGGTGCAGGGGATGGGTGGGGGCAGGAAGGGGTGGGGGGGGGTGTCTGGGCCGCGGAGCCCTGCACTCAAAGCCACCTTTTCATGAGCTCGGGGGCCAAGCGCAGAGTGGTGATTAGGCACCAGGCCCAGCTCCGGTCCCAGCCCAGGGCCCCCCAAGCCTGTCTGTCCAGTCCCAACCGCAGCAGGCGGGCCAGGTGCCGACTACGAGTCCCAGAATGCCAGCTCAGTGTAGGGGGAGCATGCGTACCTGGGGAGGGACAGGGACTGCTCCCCCACGCCCCCGGCCACCCCACCCACCAGCCACTTCCTGGAAGCCAGGCATGGGAGGGGCACCTTTCTGATCCAGCTGGCTGGTGGTAGGAGGGAGCCCCAGCCCTTGGCCCGGTGAGTCCCCCAGGCAAGGGCCCCCTAGAGCCTCTTTCCCCTCCTCCCCAGTCCCCAGGCCAGCCCACCCCCCAGTAAACCCTGTTGCCCTGGGCCCAATGAGAGCAGGTTCAGGGGCCCCACATCAGGGTTCTAGTACACGTCTGGCCAGGGATGCGGGGGATGGAGAAAGGGGCCGCCATGAAGCCCGGGTGGGGGTCTGGGGCGCAAAGACAAAGGAATCCCTTTGGATGGGACTGACTGCCAGGGCTGAGTTTGAGGGACAGCTGAGGTGAAGGCTTGGAATTCACTTTCACTTTAGGGTCCGATGGGCCCATGGCTGCAGAGGATGTGGGTTCCAGGTCTACGCTTACCTGGGTGGGAGGCACTTTACTCTGGGGCCTCCTCCTCCTGAGCTCACAAACCAAGTGATCTCTGAAGCTCTCAGATGCTACCTTCCCTGCAGAATGCTGCCCCAGCTGACAACCCTTCAGGGTCTGCTGAGCGTTTGACCGATCCCACATCTCCTATGTGAGAGATTGTTGTCAGCCCCACTTTACAGATGAGGGAAACTGAGGCCCAGCCTTTAACAGACCTGCTCAGGGCTCTCATAGCTAGTAAATGTTGGAGGTGAAGGTTGAACCTGGCTCTTCTGGGCTCCAGATCCAGCCCAGGATGGAGCTATTGCCAGCTGCCTGTTGGGTGGTGCCAATAGGTTTGGGATTAAAGTTGGGGGCCTGCAGAAGAAAAGCTCTGCCCCAGGCTGGACCTACAGCTTTCTTCTCTCCCTGAGCCCAGTTAGGAAGCCCCAAGCCCCTGGCCTCCCCCAGCTCTGACCCATCTTGCCTAGCACAGGCTGGACCCCCTCACCACCCTGCATTCAGAGCCCTGGTCTGGGGCCTGCTCAGGCCTGAGAGTTTGTGAGTTTGTAATGTGTGTGCATGTGTGTGTGTGTGTGTGTGTGTGTGTGTGTGTGTGCAGAGTGTGAGTAAGAGAATGTAAGTATGCATGAGAGTATGTATGTATTGTGAGTGTGTGTGTATGTGAGAGTGTGAGTGTGTGAGAATGTGTGTGTGAATGTGTGTGCAGAGT